CGCAACGCGCCTGGGTCGTCGCTCTTGTGTGCGCCGCGGGGTGAGGGGTTCTACGCTCCCGCGCTAGCAGAGGCGGTGCGGCTGGCAGAGCTGGGCGCCAGCGTCCTCGACCCGACAGCTTGCACGACGGTGCTCTTCTTTTCCGACGGCCGGCCGAGCGACAAGCCGTGCGACATCCCGGGCGCTGGGGCCTGGGTCTGCGCGCGCTGCACTTGGAGGAACGCTGCAGACGAGCTGCAGTGCGTCAGCTGCGCCTCATCTCGCCTCGACGAGTACGGCGGCGACCACGAGCGGTGGCAGCGGACCCGCCTCTTGCCTCATCTCGCCGCACAGCTAGAGGAGCTGTGCGCGCTGCTCGACTATGACAAGCGGCGGCTGCAGTGGCACTCGATCGGGCTCGGAAAGGAGGAGGAGTTTGTCGTGCTGCGCAGCATGACCGAGGCCCTGCCGCGCGACATTGGCCACTTCAACTGCTGCACGCTCGACGCGCGGTCGCTCGCCCGCGGCGTCTCGAGCGTCTCTTCGTCGCTGACGCAGTCGCGCCTAGCCTCCTCGACTACCAAGTACCGCCGCCCGTTGCGCGCCGTCTTTCTGAACCAGTTCGAGGGCCGCTTCACGCGATACCCTCGCGCTAAGATCTACAAGGCGCCGCCACCGGGCGAGTTTGGGGCGCCGAACGAGCTCTTGGGCGAGGCGGACATCGAGATTGCGGACGGCGCCTTTGGCCACGGTGGCGAGCGAAATGTTTTTGCGATGCGCTTCGTGACGCGAACGACGTTCACCAAGGTCACAGCCGACTCGCGTGGACGCCAGCAGCGCGCGGTGGAGTTCGAGGCCAAGCCCGGCGAGCAGTGGGTGGTGAAGGAGGACAAGCACGCGCGCGTGAACGACAGCTTTGAGATCGAGACGCACGACAAGAGCCTCGTGTGCCAGGTGACCGCCGGCAACCTCGCACAAAACTTCAACGCGGCGACCGCGCAGCTCGGCGGCGACATCCCGAGGCTGAAATACCTCGAGGCCTTTCTCATCACGACCGAGATCCCGAGCAAGCGTATCCTCTTCACGGAGAGGCGGCTCGAGGCCGACTTCCAAAAGTGGAACACGAACAACGGGATCGTGCTGCGCGCCGAGCGGCCTCTCGGCTCTGGCGATGGCAGCTCTGACGAGGGCCGGATCCGGACGGAGCACGTGCCGCAGGCCTTCTCGCATTGGACGCTGGCCGACAATGAGAACGGGGTCGACTACGAGGACAGCGACGGACGAGCGCGGCGCGGGCGGCTGCTCGTGTGCGACATCCAGGGCTGCTACGCAGCTACACGGCGCGAGCTCGTGTTGAACGATCCCGTCATACACTCGCAGTCGGGCGAGATCGAGGCCAATATGTTCGGCCTGACTGACCACGGTTCGCGCGGGATCATGCTCTTCATGAAGTCCCACGTCTGCAACCCGCTCTGCGCTGCGCTCGGACTGCCCCCAAACACGCTCTTCGAGGAGGAGAAGACGGCTGCTTTCGCCCGCTCCTCGCGCGAGACGTCAGAGCTTACCGTCCTCGCCTCCGAGCACTGCGCGAAGCGGGGTCGCGAGCGAGGCATCCCGAAGCGGCAGATGCAGGCGGCGAAGAAGCATGGAGAAAAGGTCGTGCAGGCCGACGGGCGGCTGAAGGCAAAGCTGCCGGACTACGCAGGGCAGGGCCCGGTCGCCTACGTGTCTGACGCGTCCGAACGGGTCGGCGTCACCGCGTTTCGACCTGGAGTGCCCGACCTGAGCAGCAGCAGCAGCGGCGGCGACGGTGGGAGCGCGCCTTTCTCTTCCCCGCCGCCGCCAGGGCCGCCGGTCGCAGCGGCGGTGGAACCGCGCCGAGCCTTTTCGCCGGTGCAGGGCTCGATCCACTCGCGGCTCGACGCGCTGGAGGAGCATGCGTTTGACAGCGGCGGCGGCGACCGTCGTGTCGAGGCGCGTGGCATCGCGTCGCGGCTGGCAGCGCTCGAGGCAGCTTTGTCGCCTGGCGGCGACAGCGAAGGCGGCGGCGGCGGCGTTCTCCCGCAGGTGGAGCGCTTGGAACGCCTCGCCGTGGCTGGATGCCATGCGCCGCAGGAGATGATGTCGCCGCAGCTGCTCAGAGATGCCGCCATCTTGGGCATTGGGGCGCCTGCAGGTGCTGAAGGCGGTGCGGAGCCGATCGAGGCCACAGCACCGCTCGACGATGCCGCCGACAGTGCAGGCCCCAGTTCTCGCAGGATGGAGGCGGATGCGCTGAGCGGTGCAGACGTGGCAGTCTCTGCTCGCGGCGAGCAGGCCGAGCAGGCCGGAGGAGGCGAGTGGTTGGTTGAGCGGGGAAAGACTCGTCCGAGCAAGCCCAGCCCAGCGGCTTCGCCTGCGCCTCGATTCACAATCAAGCGACATGAGGGCGGTCGCAGCCGCTTGTCCGTGATGACAGCCGCTCTCTTCGAGGAAGAGGACGCGAGCGAGGAGGAGGAGGTGGAGGAGGGGCCGGTAGTGGGTGGAGGGCAGGGCGGGGCCTCGTCCTCGGATGCCGCGGGGCCAAGCACTGCGGCGGACAAGAAGGAGAGGAGGGTCCGCAAGAAGGAGCAGCGAAGGAAGAAGGAGGCAGAGGAGGCGGCGGTACTCGCTGAGCACTTCCAGAAGGCCGAGGACGAGGCCAAGAGCAAGCTGGAAGCGGTGGCGGGCACCGTGGGCTCGGTGGCGGGCGCTGTGGGCTCGGTGGCGGGCGCAGCGCTGATGGGCACAGCACTAGGCACAGCAGCGTTTGGAATTGGCGCTCATAGCCTGGCATCCGGTGTGTTGGCCGCGCCGGGAGAGGGTGCACGGCTGTTTGGGGCCCAACTGCGCCGACGGGAAGCGGAGAACGAGCGCAAGAAGGAGCTTGAGGAGCGGCGAGCCAAGCGGGAGAGGAAGAAGCTGCTGGAGAAGAAGAGGATCGAGCGCGCCGGGGACAGGCGCGAGGAGATCCGCTGAAGCTGCTCGAGAGATATGATGGTACTGTGTACGTACATTGGATAGCGTGCGTTACGTTCTACACGGTCGCTTAGCCTGGGGGGCACTCATCTCGTAAAAATAAGGCATTCTTCACCACGACAGAGGTGTCTGAGTTTGACCTTTTCAGATCGCTCTCACCCCGCCTGCCGCTGATACCGCCCTAACCCCGCTGTCCGCGTCCGCCCGCCGCCGAGGCCCGAGGCCGAGGCCGAGGCAACTGAGCAGAGACGAGAGAGCCCACACCGCCTCCCCGAGCATGAGCGCCACCGCCCCCGCCGCCGCCCCCACCGCGCCCACCGCGCCCGCCACCGCCGTGCCAACGGCGGTAACCGCTCCCGCCACGGCCGCAAACGTAGGCGCCAGCAACGAGTCGAACACCCACGTCGCCACCGCCGCCGCCGCCGCAAGCGCCACCAGCGCTGCGGAGAGGGCGGCGGAGAGGGCCGCCTGCACGAGTGTCACGACCGGCGAGAGCGCCGCGGCGACGTGGCGCATGCGAAAGGAGACCGCGCTCACAAAAGCGGAGACGAGCGGCGCCGCCGCGTCGAAAATCATGCTCAGCGCGGAGCAGAACGCGGAAATCGCGTGGCCGAGCAAACGGCAGCAAGCCGCGACGAGCCGTAGCAGCGCGTCGCCCGCAGAGGCGAACGCGCGCTGCGTCGCCGCCGCGCACCCTCCGAGCAAGTGCGACGCGAGCCGCGCGCAAGCCTCGAGGGGGAGCCAGACGGCCTCGGTAACCAGCGCGTCGAGCGCCACGGCGCCGCGGCAAGCGCCGCGGGCGCCGACGCACACGGCGTGGCTCGCGTGCACGCCGAGCGCCTGCTCCCAAACGACCTCGGGGTGATCTTGGGCAAGTTTGGGCGATCTCGGCTCGCGTGCACGCCGCGCCGCGGTGCCGTCGCGGAGCGCGCGCGCCGCGGGCGAGGCGAGGCGGAGGGCGGCGGCGGCGGCGGCGACGAGCGGGGCGGCGGCGACGCGGACGGCACGCGAGAGGGGGAGGCAGCAGCGGTCGACCAGCGCGTAGACGCAGCGCTTGCAGTGCGTGGCGACCCACTCGACGGCGGACACCCAGCCGGCGTGCACCGCGCGGCTGGCGGCGAACAGCACCGATCCGGCCAGCCGCGCCGCCGCGGGCAGGACGCGCCAAAGCAGCAACAGCGCGAGGGCGAGCGGGAGGGCGAGCGGGACGCAAGCTAGCTTGAGGACGACCTACAATGCAGTTGAGACAAGGCTCAAGCAGGGCTCCTCCAGAGGCGCGACCGCGCTCGACGACGGACCTCGATCGGGGGGCCGCTGAGGAAGGAGGAGCAGGAGGCGCGCGCCTCTGCGCAGTCTCGCAAAGCGACGACGCCACCGCTCTCGCCGACGCACCCCGCTCGGCGCCAAAGCAGTCGCAGAGGGAAGTGGGCGGCTCCGGCTGGCCGAGCAGCGCACGCACCTCCGCAGGTGACAGCGAGGCGCGCTCCGCGCGGTAGCTCGACTCGTCGGCCAACCAAGCGCCGCCGCGGCGGGGGGCGGGGCCGCCTCCCGCAGCCGCGGAGGCACGCGCGAGGCGAGGCCCCGCAGCAGCGCGAGCAGCCTGTCGCGGCGCGCCTCGAGGGTGGCTCCGCCGCCGCCGCCGTCGCCGCCGCCGCCGGCCGCGTCGGGCAGCAGCGTGAGCGAGACCGTCCCTTGCCGAGACCATACCCACCCGGACCCGCGCACCTCCACCAGCAGGCCGGGAGGGGACGCCGCCGGAGCGGGCGAGATCGACGAGACGGACTCCAGGCCGACGGCCGCGAGGAAGGCGCCGCCTCCGCTGTCGTCGCCATCCTGGCCGCTACCTCCGCCGCCTCCGCCGCCGCCTCCGCCCTCCTCCTCGTCGCCAAGGTGCTCAAACACGAGAGCCGCCCGCTCAGCGTCAACCACCCGCCTCTCGCCAGAGAGGGCCGACCCGCCCCACGAGCTCCAGCCGCCAGTCTCGCGCCGCGCCACCCGCGTGCCGCCCGCGACAAGCTCCTTGAGCAGCGTGCGCTCCTCCGGCGAGAGCAGCGCGCCGACCCCGCCGGGCGAAGGCGCCGACCGCGCCGCCGCAACACGCCCTGCCCCGGCCGTGCCGGGCGCCGCGCCGCCCTTGCCGCCCGGCGCCTCGGCCGCGACCTCGGCAGGAGCGGCGGCGGCGGCGGCGCGGAGGGCGGCGAGCCACTCCCCCGGTGGCCGAGCCCTGCCCCAGCCGAGTGCGGGCCGGAGCTCGGCCGGCTCTCCCCTGCCGCACTGCGCCACCGCGAGCACGTAGCGCGGCACGACGCGCTCGGTGCGGTGCAGCACGAACTCGGGCGCGCGCAGCCCGCCCGCCGACGCCGACGCGGCGACCGAGTCGAACCCCTTCGCCTCGAGGTCCTTCTCTGGGTCGAGGTCTGCGGACGAGTCGCGGGCGTGTCGCGGGGCTGCTGGGCGGCCGGACCGAGTCGCAAGAGGTGTGCGCTGCTGGGCGGCTGGGCCGCGGGTGTGGAAGGCGCGCGTCTCGGAAGGCGCGCGGCGGGCGAGGGAGGTGGGCAGCGTCTCGGAGGTGTCGCGGACCGGTGCGGCGGGCGCGGCGAGTGTGGAGCGGTGCGCCGAGCTCGACCTCGCAGGCGAGATCGATTGGTTAGTTCGTGACCGAGTGGTGTTAGTAGTGTTGACGGGCGCTGCGCTCGTAAAGCCGTAGAGAGCCGTACCGTACGTACGACCTCGCAGACGAGCATGTGCCGCCTTCCGCGCAGCCCCAACTCAGCAATCTCTCACAGCATCCACACCCCTTCAAACTGTGCACACACTGCGGCGGCCGCCCGCGGGCGCAACACGTGCACACATTTTTTACGGAGCTACGCACGTACATCCGGGGGCCACGGGCGACCCGCACCACACCCGACACCGACGGCGACGCCGGCGCCGGTCACGGACAGCACAATTTTAAGGCGCTAGCGCAGACACGAGCGAGCACAGGGCAGAACCGGCTCGAACCGGGGAGCCGGAGCAGAAAGATCTGCGTCTCGAGTATGAATGATCCGCATCGGTGGGCGCAGAACCGAGTGGACCAGTACACCGATAAAGCCGTCTGGCCATGCCCGCCATCAGAACTGCCTGCCGCCCACCAGCCGCGAGAGGAGCTCGAGCGCCTGCTCGGGCGCGGTCTCCGGCACCTCGTGCCGGCCGCCCTTGACGGTGGCAAAGGTGAAGTTGTTCGCGGCGTACCGCGTGGCGTACCCCGCCACCTGCGTGCCGTTCTTGTAGCGCCACGGGTGCCACGGCGCCGCCTCTGCGTACCCCATGCCCGCGGTCCACGCCTCCGCGTCCGTGTGCGGCACGCACGCGTCCCAGTCTCCGTTGTAGACGAGCACGCGCAGCCGCTTGACCAGGGCCGGGTACGTGTCTCGAGGCAGGTTCTTGCGCGTGGACGTGTACCTGATCTGGTTGCCGCACGTCGACCACGGGATGGGCTGCTTCACGACGTGCGCCGCCAAAATCACGGCCGGCTGGTTCAAGTACGCTGAGCCCGCGGCCGAGTCGATGCAGGCGTCCGGCCCGCGCAGCCGCGTGCGGCCCGAGAAGAGCTTGCCGCTGCCGCCGCCGAGGAAACCGCCCCCCGCGTACGGTATCTTTTGCGTGGACGGCAACCGGACTGCGTCGGCGCTGCTGTTTCCAACGGCGCCATTGGAAACAGCACCCCCGCTGGAGATGCACTGCCCGTAGACGTTGTACAGGTTCACGTGGCCGACCGCCTCGCCCATCTGGTCGAGCAGCCTCGAGCACGGCGCGGAGGGCTCCGACGCTCCAAAGTCGCACGCGGCACGGACCTGCGTCTTGAGGCGCGGCGAGACGAAGCCCGTACCGAGCAGATACTGGGTGTCGTAGATCCAGCGCTGCCCGCCGCACACGCCAACCTCTGTGCCCGAGCAGCCGTTCCCGACGGCGATGCCTTCGAGCGCGGCGCCCTTCCACCTTCCCTTGTCCACGAGCGCAAGCACCGCTTCGGCGAGGGTCGGCACGTACACGCCGGCGTACGACTCGCCCGTGATGAACATCGAGGCGCTCCGGAAGCGAGGGAACGCCTCGAAGAAGGCCTGCAGCGCACTTGCGCTGTCCGCCGCCGTTTGGTCGTCGTCCGTCCGGTAGTCGGAGCACGGCCGAGCGCTGCCCGCGCTGCACGCGGGGTCGGTGCTGTACGAGAAGCCGACGCCTAAAGGCAAGGCAAAATCTCCACAGAGCTTCCTTTCAAGTGCAGGGCCGCGTGCGCGTGGGTGCCTGCTGGCGCCTCCAGGTACAGCATGTTGGCGACCTTGGACCACGCGTGCTCGAATCGGATGAGCTTGGTGGGATCCTCGGGACTCGTCCGGAACGGCCTGGGCATCCGAGGTAGCGTCAGCAGGCAGGGAGTACGCGGATGTGTGAGCGAGCGGCGCACCCATGCTCGTAGATGAAGCCGTCCAAGCTGGAGCAGCCAGGCCCACCGTTCAGCCACAGCACAAGAGGCGCCGACTCTGGGCGGGCCTCGGCCTCGACCAGCCAGTAATGCAGCTTCTTGTGCTCGCCGACGCTAAGATAGCCAGAGAACTGGCGGGAAGGGAGCGCGCCATACCAGCCTGGGAGGGCCTTGACTTCGTCGCCAGCGGGAGAGAAGCCGTAGACGGACAGCAGGAGCAGCGACATTCACACGTAAAAAAGAATCTTAAGCCAAAAAGAATTCTCTTCGCGACACCGGGTAGAGAGAGAGAGAGAGAGAGAGAGAGAGAGAGAGAGATAAACCGCCAATGGCCGTTATCCGTTAGTGCGGACGTCGCCGCGGCTCGCCTCTGCCGCGGCGGCTGCTGCGCGCACGCGGCGGCGCCGCTCTCTCGCGAGACGGCTGGCGACGCGGCTCGCCGCCGACGTACGGTGCGCTCGTCCGACGGTCCGCAGCGTGGCGTGCGCGGCGCTGAGCGCCGCTCTGCGAGCGCCTCTGCGCCTGCACTGCCTGTCTCTGTTGCTGTTGGTGGTGGTGGTGCTGCTGCTGCTGGTGCCGATGCTGCTGCTGGCGCGGCGCGGCTGTGCGACTGGGCTCGACGCGCGCGTCGCGAGCGTCTGACGCGGCGGGCGGCGTCGGGCAGGTGCGCTTCTCTCTCGGGTGGTGGTGGTGGTGCTGCTGCTGCTGCTGGTGGTGCAGATGCTGCTGCTGGTGCGGCGCGGCTCTCCGACGCGACTCGATGCGCGCGTCGCGGCTATCTGACGCGGCGGGCGGCGTCGCGGGCGGCAGCGGTGGCGGCTCGCGGGTGGAGGTGGAGGCTGGTGGCTGTGGTGGACTTTGAGTTTATTTCATGGTCGTGTACGGGGACCGGGGGGTCAACCGGGAGGCAGGGGGTTCAACCAGGCGACGGAGGACCGTGGGCCATCGCGGGGACGGCCCGCCGGAGGCGGGCTCGATTGATCCGGATGGTCTTCACGCCGGTGGGAGGCACCGAGGCGTCTTGGACGCTCAGCTCTACCTTAAGCTCCTGAGGGGCGCGTGGTTGTAACCACGTAGTATGACTACAACCCACCACAGACACCCTCCCCCACTCCTCACGTGTGTTCACACCCTCACCCTCTCCTCTCTCCTCTCTCTCTCTCTCTCTCTCCTCTCTCTCCTCTTGTCTGTGCTGTCTGCCTGACTCAGGCACTCAATCTGCCGATGCGTGATTGTGTGTGGGCTGCTCCGAGGGGGCCCTCTGTGCGATCCGACGGGTAGGGGGGCTGTGCCCGGGCGGTGTCCGGTGTGGAGTCCCCTTCTGATCCCGCCTGGGATGTTGGGTGTGAGGTTGTGGCGGCTTCGATCCCAAGGGGGGGAGCTGATCCCACTCAATAACCAACTCTCAGGGGCAGTAGGTGGGCGAGCTTCAGGCACGCTCATCTCGATCGTCAAGACGTTGCTACGCGCGGTCTTCCGCGGGGGGAGCTGCGTCGACGGGTGCGGGACCGCGGCGCAGCCAGTGCCGTGGCGATGCCTCCGGCTGTTTGCGGCGGGCGGCTTGCTGCTCGCTGCGATGGCGAAAAACTCGTCTCGCCACACGCCAAGGGCTTATGCTCTGGCGAGACGTGAGGCGCATGCGCCCAGGAGGGGAGGGGGCATGTGTAACGACACTGCTAGAGATGCCTTTCGGGGCCCAGAGATAAAACTTCTGTGATGCCATGCGTGACCTAGTAGTGTCCCCAGCTATGGGCGTGTCCACGTTGGAGCCAGGTGTGGTGTGGGCGCGAGAATAGCTCCGCCGTTCATGGAGGCAACCGATGCGAGTCGACTGGTGTGTGTCGTCGTGGTTTCGTATCAAGAATTCTCTCTCTCTCTCTCTCTCTCTCTCTCGACACCGGGTACGGGTCCTGCTCGTGCAGGTGGGGACCCTGTCCTCGTCCCATCCCTCGTTTGGCGTGTCTATTTTCTTTCTTTCTTTCTTTCGGGTACGGGACTGGCACTGAAAAGGCGACGGCTTAGAAGCCGTCGCCCTCACAGATGCCGTCCTCCTCACAGAAGGCGTCGTCGGAATGGTAGTCAGGCGGATGGTCGAATCCGCGAGCACCGTGGTGCTCGCCGAGAGGACCATCCCCATCATCCTCCGACTCCATCCCCTCCCCCCCCCGTCGCTCCCGCCGCGCCCCCCGCCGGCGCCCGTCGCGGGACTTCCTGCCCCCCCCGCCAGCGCCGCGGGCCGGGCCGCTCCGCAACTCCTCCAGGTCCCCCTCAAAGAGGAGCACCCGTCCCTCACCCAATCCTCCCACCCCGGGAATGGGACACCGCAAACAGAACCGCGCCCAGCGTCCCAGCAACGCAATCCCTCCCACTCCCCCGCCTTGAACTCCGCCGCGAGCGCCGCGACCACCTCGTCGCGCTCCTCGACCGAGAGCCGCCTAAACGCCGCCTCCGCGGCCGCCCCGCGCGCGCCGAAGCCCTCCGGCCTCGATCGGTCTCAGACCTACATTCTATATTCCAGAATGGCATTCTTCGAAATAGAATGGGCGCCGCAGCGGCCCGTAGCGGCGCCCCCTGCGTGCCCACGGCCACCCCGGGGCCATGGGACATCCCCCCGGCCATCGGGGATGCTTGGTTTATCCATTACCCCATTTACACGGGCTGTGTTGCGGCGCGCCTCGAGACGCGCAGCGCAGCGCAGCGCGCAGACCACAAACCAGATAAGAAGACGGCCGTGGCGACACCCGCTCTCTGAGCGACAGCCCCGCAAAGGGCACTCGCTCGCAGGCGAGGACTACGGGCAGCACAGGCAGCAGCAGAGCTGGCGGTCCGTCTCCCCGCCCGCTTAGCAAGTCGGCCCCAGCGTCACGGCCGGGACGGGCCAGGAGCCACCCGGCTCGACGAGATCGACGAAGAGGACGAAGACGAGGACGAAGACGAGGAGAGGACTACTCGAACTTGGACGAGGACTCAGGCGAGGCGCAGGACTCGGAGACCGGGCAGGGAAGCGAGGACCATGACTAGGTGACACGAGGAGTAGATGTGACATAGGTAGACCGCATTCGCGCTGTCTGCTCACTTCTGCCGCCCGACCCTTTCGCCTGCCCACCACTTGCGAGCACAAATCTCACACTTCCACTGCCCTCGCCACAGGCGGCGACGGACGGACATCCAAGGCTCGAACGGCGGCAGCGGCTCAACGGCTGCCGGCGGCCGTCGTGCGTTTGCTTTCGCCATACGCGGCCCCCGGCGTCTGCTCTGGTTTGCCGGGGCGGGGGGGAGGACTCTCATTTGCGGACTGTTGGGCTTCTCTGTGTTGAACTGGCGCTTGTCGCGAACCCCACCAGTCTGGCCGAGCGGCACGCTGCCGCTGGGGGCGTGAGGAGGCCGTGGGGGACGGCGGCGGACCCCATTCTTCGATGTAGAATGGGCCCTCACCGCGGCCCCCGGCCCGTCTGCTGCTGAAAATGTGGCGTGTTGGGGGCTCTCCTGTGTGACTCCTCTGGCTCGCCGCGTTAAAGTGGCGCCTGTGTGTGACCAGCCTCAACCCCGGCAAGCGCCCCCCGGCCGCTGGGGCTGCGAGGCGGCCGGGTGAGCGCGCGCGAGACGCCATTCTACATTATAGGATGCCATTCTATAATATAGAACGGCCAGGTAGGGCTGAGACCGCGATAGGAAGAAGTCGATGGGGTAAGCGCCCGGGTCAGAATCGCCGAGGTAGCGACGCAGCCGCGCCGCAATCGCATCGAGCTCCAGCCAGCGAGCGCTGCACCGCCCCCCACCGCCCGCTTCGACGAGGCGGCACTCCAGACTGTATTCAAAGGCGAGCGAGGCGAGAAACCAAAGGCAAAGGCGACAGGGTTTGATGCTGAGAGAGAGGGATTTGCGTTGTTGTGTAGTGTAGTACAGCACTTGGAGACTACAGTTTATTTTAGGCCAGCCATCTCGTTTGATGAGCAATGGCGCGGTGCCCCTCTCATCCCGGCGAATCTCCCTCCATTGCAAACAATATCCCCCGATAGTTGCGTCCTGTCCCCCGGGGTGGTTTTCGCAGTCTCCCCATGCTGCAGCTCGGAAATTCGTGGCATCTTCGCGCGTTCGCCCAGCGGTTACAACCGCTGAGGAATGCGTCGCACATTTGGAATCAGTGCTGCGATTGTGATCCTAGCGCTCTACATCTGCATCGCTCTGTCCCGCGCCGGATGTAGAGCTCTACAGCTCTACAGCGCTCTACAGCGCTCCAGAGCGCTCTACATCTCTACAGCTCTACAGCGCTCTACACTCTACATCCTCTACACCCCCTCCCTCAGGCTGCGCGCGCCTGTTTTGGGGGGGCTACCAGCACCGAAAAATTGCCGGATTTTCTGTGTTTATTCCTGTGTGAGGGTTTGTAGAATAGAATTCTTTTTCTTGCCCTTGTTCTTGGTTTTTAGCTCCTTCTGTTCTCGATGTGCTGCGTGGTCGCTTACACGGGGGGGGGGGGGGCGGACGGGCGCGCAGCTTACTTACGACATACGAGCGGACGACGATCGAGTGCTGGCTCGCGCTTTCACGGTTGGCCAAATTCTTCTATCCGCGCACCAAACTCGGCACGGTGGTAGACGGGGTCGGGGGGCTGCGCGCCGACCGGCCAGCCCGCCCCTCGCGGCCGTGCCTACGTCGCACAGGCGGGGCAAAAATCGGCCTGCCGCTCCAGTGGGGACTAGGGCTTGGCTGCCACGAAGAAAACAGGACCAAAGCAGTCATCATGTCATCGCACCACCACCCTTGGCAGCACAAAGCCGCGCCAGATGTCCGCCAGCTCTGGAGCCGCTCCCTCGCGGCTGTCGAAGCGCTCCTCGTCCCAAGCGATCAGGTAGCCCAGCCGCATCACCTCGACCGCCCGCTTGCGAGCCGCTGTCGGGAAGAGCTCGTGCGACTGCGGCGACCACTCCGCCGCCTTGAGGATGAGCCTGCCCACCTCCACCGCCTCGGCCGCTGGCTGCAGGTTGGCCGGCCTGAGGGAGGGCAGAGGTGTGTCAAAGAGAGGATCCGGCGAGTCGGGGAGAGACCATTTCAGTGCGCGCCTCAGTGCGAGTGCCTTGGCCTCGCCCGCCACGCGCACGCCGAAGCGGGCCGTCGAAGCGTTGGCGGAGACGACGACGCCGACCTTGCCGTTCATCGAGGGCCGCGAGACGAGAGAGCGGATCTTGACTGTGGAACCGACGGCCGCAGCGGTCGGATCCGACTCGCTCCACGAGCAGAGGACGCGCGCCCGCTCGAGGGCAGAAGGCGCGCCGGCGAGCGGGTCGGCGCCGCCGCGCAGCAGCGCCCGCGCCCGCTCGACGGTGAGCGCCTGCGGAAGAGGGACAATGGGCGTGAGGACGGCGCGCTCACGCCTTCGGCCGCTAGTCTCGGGCACGCCTCGAGATGCTGGAGCGGCGTCCAGCCGCGGCTGGCGACCAGCCAGGCGGCGAGGTCGGCGTGGCCTTGGCGGTTTGCAACCTCCTCGGGCGTGCCGAAGGGCGTAGCGGCGCGGGAGGCGCCGTAGGAGGAGAGGAGCTTGGCGACCTCGAGGTGGCCGAAGTGGCACACCGCGTACAGCGGCGTGGAGCCGCTGATGCGGGCTTGGTTGACCGCCGCGCCAGCCTCGAGGAGCAGCCGGGCGCACTCGCCGTGACCCTGCTGGCACGCAATGAACAGTGGCGTGGCGCCGTTCTGCTTGGCTTGGTCGGCCGCCGCGCCAGCCTCGAGGAGCAGCCAGGCGCACTCGAGGTGGCCCTTCTGGCACGCCATGTACAGCGGCGTGGTACCCTCCTTGTTGGCCTGGTCGACTGAAGCGTTGGCCTCGAGAAGCAGCTGGGCGCACTCGAAATGCCCCTCCTGGCACGTAACGCACAGCGGCGTGAAGCCTTCAGCGTCTGCTTGGTTGACCGCGGCGCCAGCCTCGAGGAGCAGCCGAACGCAGCCGATCTCGCCAGCCAAGCTCGCAGCACTCAGCGGCGTGGTGCCATCGTTCATCGCTTGGTCGGTCGCCGCGCCAACCTCGAGGAGCAGCCTGGCGCAGTCGAGGTGGCCCTCCTCGCTCGCGAGGAGGAGCGCGGTGGCGCCGCCGCTGTCAGCCGCCCCGACGCTCGCGCCGCCCTCGAGCAGCAGCAGCGCCGCCTCGGCCTGCCCGTGCCGAGCGGCCCAGGTGAGCAGCGTGTCCTGCTTCTCGGTGTTTTGCCGCGCGTCGAGCTGGGCCGCGAGCGACGTGCCGCGCGTCCCCTGCCCAGACAGGAAGCCGCGCAGCCAGGCCAGGTCGCCCCGAGCCAGGTCGGCGAGCCGAGTTGGGAGGATGGCGCCGCTCATGCCGCCAGAAAGAAGAAAACTAGCGCGAAAAGCGCTGTAGAGCTGTAGAGCGGCCGCGGGACGAAGCGCCTCCGTTGACCGTTGTAGAGCGATGTAGAGCGCGATTTTGCTGTAGAGTTGGTTGTAGAGGCTCTACAGCCAAACCGCCGGGAAGGCAGTGAACTCAAAGAGGCCGAGCCGCGCTAATGGGTTGTCTCCGAGCTTACTGGAGCTCTGATGGACGGCCCTGACTATCCCTGACACACAGAGAGTCACTCTGACGGCACACAACACCCTATAACTGCGCTCAGAAAGATCGCGGTTCATTCATAGCACGCGGCGGGCTACTTCGCGCGCGACGCCGAGCAATTGCTGGTGCGTCCGGTGGGTCTCTTCCTTGTGGCAGAAGACTTCGATCAGCGAGAGGGAGCCGCCCGCGGCGCCGCGCCGTAGGCTGCCTCGAACGCCGCCCCGCCGCACGTCGAGGCGGCGGCGTACGGCAGCCCAAAGGCAAAGCCGCGGCAGACGGAGTCGAAAAAAAAGGGCGGCCAAAAAGACGCCGTCTCGTTGTCCTGGCGCTTGAATGCCCCCCCCGGCGTTGACCCAGTCGACATGGCTACTTCGGAATCGGCAGCAGCGCTGGCGGACAGAGCGCTGGCGGACCTCTGCGAGGAGGAGCAACCGCCAGCGGCCGCCAGCGGCGAGCGAGAGACTGCGAAGAGAGATAGGAAGAGGCGGACGCCCAAGGGTGGGCGACGGCTAGCGCACCACACCCCTCTTCTTAAAATCCCTGTGTGGTGGCGGCGTGCCGTCCTCCCATCCCTCCCTTGGAGCACTTGGAGCACTTGGAGTGCAGTCAGTAACCTCACATCCACAGGGCCGGGGAGCTAAGAAGCGCACCCAGCGAGCCGGATGATCGGTATCGGGCTACGGGCTAGAGAGCCCTGACCCCTAGCTAGGGGGGGGGGGGGGGGCGCGCGCATTCGCAGGGAAAGGGCCTTAAAGTAAACACGGGTCTCCGAGGGTTAGTTCTGCGCTTTGGGTGTCCCCTAGCGGCGGAACGCCCCCTCTACTCGGAGCTAGTAAACACCAAACACGAGCATGGGTTCTTGTTTTCTGTCTTTCTTTCTTCGCTCGTCTGCGTAATAAATAAAACGAAACACCAAACAAGGGGTGGGATAAGGACAGGGTCCCCACCTGCACGAGCAGGATCTTGTATTGCGTAAGAAAAGAATTTAAACAAAACAACTAAGAAAAGAAAGAAAACGGACAGCCCAAGGGAGGGATGGGAGGACGGCACGCCGCCACCACACAGGGATTTTAAGGAGAGGAGTGTAGCGTGTGGCGTGTGGCTTGGAGCACTTGGAGTGCAGTCATTAACCGCACATCCAGGGCCGGGGAGCTGAGAAGCGCACCCAGCGGGCCGGATGATTGGCATCGGGTTGCGGGCAAGAGAGCCCTAGCCCAGGGGGTGCGCGTTCGCAGGGAAAGGGCCGTAAAGTAAACACGGGTCTCCGAGGGTTAGTTCCGTGTACCGGGTTTCCCCTTAACTGCAGAACGCCCCCCCTACTCGGAGCTAACGGACACACAACACTGTACTCCACGCACGTACACTGATACGCCTCATGTGCGCCCGCCCGACTCCGGTCCCAGAGTCCCTTCCTTCGCCCGTCAGGGCGAGCCCTCGGCTCGTCCCGGCCCCTTGCTCGCCTTCCGGGCGTTACCAGACTGCCTGTGTAGTCGTTTCTGATGCCTCTTCCTCGGCTGTGGCCTCGACTCCGCTTCGCCTTCGACTGGTACTGCAGCCTCCGAGAGCGTCGACGGCCCGGCCGGGGTCTCCCCGGGCGAGGACGGCGGCCTTAGATCGTGTCGCCACCCCTCCAAGGGAGGTCGAGCCCGTTCTCCCTGGTCGGCGAGTCGTGCCCGCTTGGTTAAACTTCTTTCCATATTTTCGCTTTACCCGTCTCGAGACCTCGAGAGATGGCCGCCCGCAGGCGGCCGGGCCCCTCTTCGACAAAAAGGGCCCTCCTGTAACGCCGCCAGCGCGCTCGCGCTCAGTGCTCCAGCTTCGGCTGAAGAACCGCCGCAACCAAAGGGGACCCCAGCGCCAGCATCAGCCGTAGAGGTACAAGTGTCCGAAGAGAGAGTGGACCTGAGCAATGATATGACCGGGCGGCAAATGATCGCAGTGGGCGTCAGAAGAGTCATTTGTTTTGTTCCTTGCGCGAGGAGAGCTCGATAAACTCGAGGGGCCAGGATATGCCGCGAGGAGGGCAGAGTTACGCCGAGAGGCGAGAGCAAGGGATCGGCAGGCAGCGGCGTCGTCGCAGAACGAGGCAGAGGGGAGCGAAGCGACAGGGGAAGAAGCGACAAGAGAGAGAACGACGAGAGTGGGAAGACCGCGAGGTGGCATGAAGGTTGCAGCGAGAATCGGAGAAGGACTGCGAAGAGAGATAGGAAGAGGCGGACGCCCAAGGGTGGGCGACGGCTAGCGCACCACACCCCTCTTCTTAAAATCCCTGTGTGGTGGCGGCGTGCCGTCCTCCCATCCGTCCCCTGCAAGTGGTGAAGCGCCGTTCAGTGAGAAGCCAAAGAAGTCGTCTCCCCTCTGGGGCCCGAGGGTGCCGAGACTCTGGGCCAAAAAAGTCGCTCCAGTGTACTACCCTACCACCCCTACCAGAGCCAGACCCGACCCTGGAATATGTGCCCGTGGCATTTTGTTACAATCTCCCCCATCGCCCTCCCTTGGGGGGGTTGTTTTCTCCCCCCCCCCCCCCCCCCGCCCGCCGCGAAAACATGCGCACTCTCCTGGGCAATCCAAACAGCGGTTCCGGACCCAAGACAGCAAACAGCACGAGCCACGACCATGGTCGGAGCCGAGGCAAAGACTCTCACCGCGGCTCCGGCCTACTCCGTCTCGCGCGTGATGGCGAAGCCCAAGACGCAGTGGCCAAAGTCGAGCGCCGCGATGCCGTTCGTGGCTCCAGCCGAGTCGAGGTGGTACCGCTCGTGGATCTCGTAGAGCGAGAGAACGAGGAGCGCCGCCCGCGCGCGGGCCGCCGCGGGGAAGAGCGAGTGGCTTGCCGGCGACCACGGCGCCGCCGCCCGCCGGACCAGCGCCGCCGCCTCGCCCTCGCCGCCCGCGGCGCGCCGCAGCGGCGTCGGCTCGCCCTCGTGTAAGCTTGCGCCGCTGCGCAGAAGGGAGGTGGCGCGGGCGGCGGTGAGGGTCTCAAGGTGCGCGAGCGGCGTCCAGCCGCGGCTGGCGACCAGCCAGGCGGCGAGGTCGGCGTGGCCGCGGCTGTTTGCGACCTCCTCGGGCGTGCCGAAGGGCGTAGCGGCGCGGGAGGCGCCGTAGGAGGAGAGGAGCTTGGCGACCTCGAGGTGGCCGTCCTCGCACGCCGCGAACAGCGGCGTGGCGCCTTGCTCATCGGCCTGGTCGATCGCCGCGCCAGCCTCGAGGAGCAGCCGGGCGATCTCGAGCCGGCCCTGCTGACACGCCATGAACAGCGGCGTGGCGCCGCCGTTCATCGCTTGGTTGATGTCAGCGCCAGCGTCGCGCAGCAGCTGGGCGCACTCGAGGTGGCCGTTCTGGCACGCCATGTACAGGGGCGTGGCGCCGTTCTCCGCGGCCTGGTTGATGTCAGCGCCAGCGTCGCGCAGCAGCCGGGCGATCTCGAGCTGGCCCTTCTGGCACGCCATGTGCAGGGGCGTGGCGCCATTCTGCTGGGCCTGGTTTATCGCTGCGCCAGCCTCGAGGAGCAGCCGAACGCACTCGAGCTGGCCCTCCTGGCACGCCATGAACAGCGGCGTGGCGCCGTTCTCCGCGGCCTGGTTGATGTCAGCGCCAGCGTCGCGCAGCAGCTGGGCGCACTCGAGGTGGCCGTTCTGGCACGCGCCGAGCAGCGGCGTGGCGCCGTTCTGCTTGGCTTGGTTGACGGCCGCAGCAGCGTCGCGCAGCAGCCGGGCGATCTCGAGGTGGCCCTTGTAGCACGCGACGAGGAGCGGCGTGGCGCCGCCGTCCTTGGCTTGGTTGACCGCCGCGTTGGCCTCGAGGAGCAGCCGAACGCACTCGGGATGGCCCTCCTGGCTCGCGATGAATAGCGGCGTGGCGCCTTGCTCATCGGCTTGGTTGACCGCCGCGCCAGCCTCGAGAAGCAGCCGAACGCACTCGGGGTGGCCCTCCTGGCACGCCATGTACAGCGGCGTGAAGCCTTGCTCATCGGCCTGGTCGACTGAAGCGCTGGCCTCGAGAAGCAGCCGGGCGCACTCGAAATGCCCCTCCTGGCACGCGACGTACAGCGGCGTGAAGCCTTCAGCGTCTGCTTGGTTCACCGCCGCGCCAGCCTCGAGGAGCAGCCGGACGCATTCGATCTCGCCGTTGAAGCTCGCAACGCTCAGCGGCGTGGTGCCGTCGTCCATGGGCTGCTCTATCGCCGCGCCCGCCTCGAGAAGCAGCTGGGCGATCTCGAGGTGGCCCTTGTCGCACGCGATGAACAGCGGCGTGGTGCCATCGTTCATCGCTTGGTCGGTCGCCGCGCCAACCTCGAGGAGCAGCCGGGCGCACTCGAGGTGGCCCGTCTCGCACGCGATGAACAGCGGCGTGACGCCGCCGTCAGCAGCTCGGTTGACCGCTGCGCTCGCCTCGAGGAGCAGCCTGGCGCAGTCGACGTGGCCCCCCTCGCTCGCGAGGAGGAGCGCGGCGGCGCCGCCGCTGTCAGCCGCCCCGACGCTCGCGCCGCCCTCGATCAGCAGCCGCACCGCCTCGGCCTGCCCGTGCCGAGCGGCCCACGTCAGCAGCGTGTCCTGCCTCTCGGTGTCGTGCCGCGCGTCGAGCTGGGCCGCGAGCGACGTGCCGCGCGTCCCCTGCCCAGACAGGAAGCCGCGCAGCCAGGCCAGGTCGCCCCGAGCCAGGTCGGCGAGCCGGGCTGGGAGGATGGCGCCGCTCATGCCGCCAGAAAGAAGACAAACCCCTTGTCCCAACCGAGGGCCGCAGACTCGTTCTGCGCGCCAACGGCTGGTGACGCTGTGTTGCCCTTGAGCTAGTCCTTCCCCGGTCGCCTAGCCTCTGCGCTGTCTGGCGGACGCCTGTATGCCATGCACGCGGACCACGCTTGCGTGGATACGTGGCTGGCAGGCTGACCCGTGTGCGGGGTAACCCGCGCACGGGGAAGCTTCACGGGTTCGAGCCGTCAAACATTGAGCAGCGGAGGTGTGCCGAGGGGGACCGGGAGGCGGTAAGCCGTCGTCGCCCGGCGCTGCATGCAGCACCGTGGCGATGGCGCTAAGAGGTTCCTCTTTTCCGCGCCCCCCCCGCAAGGCGCGCGATACACATGCTGGCAGTTAGTGTGCCGGTGATAGTACTAGCACGCGCCAGTTCGCACCTGTGTCGAGCCTGTCTGCTGTGAGAGAGAGTTGTTTTGTCTAAATTCTTTCTTTCCCTTTCGAACAAAAAACAAGCCACAAAAAACAAATGCAGTCCAACACCACCAAGCGAGAGCGAGATAGAAGAGGAGCGAGATCCTGGGGGGTTGGCTGCCACGAAGAAAACAGGACCAAAGCAGTCATCATGTCATCGGCACCACCACCCTTGGCAGCACAAAGCCGCGCCAGATGTCCGCCAGCTCTGGAGCCGCTCCCTCGCGGCTGTCGAAGCGCTCCTCGTCCCAAGCGATCAGGTAGCCCAGCCGCATCACCTCGACCGCCCGCTGCCGAGCCGCTGTCGGGAAGAGCTCGTGCGACTGCGGCGACCACTCCGCCGCCTTGAGGATGAGCCTGCCCACCTCCACCGCCTCGGCCGCTGGCTGCAGGTTGGCCGGCCTGAGGGAGGGCAGGGTGTGTCAAAGAGAGGATCCGGCGAGTCGGGGAGAGACCATTTCAGTGCGCGCCTCAGTGCGAGTGCCTTGGCCTCGCCCGCCACGCGCACGCCGAAGCGGGCCGTCGAAGCGTTGGCGGAGACGACGACGCCGACCTTGCCGTTCATCGAGGGCCGCGAGACGAGAGAGCGGATCTTGACTGTGGAACCGACGGCCGCAGCGGTCGGATCCGACTCGCTCCACGAGCAGAGGACGCGCGCCCGCTCGAGGGCAGAAGGCGCGCCGGCGAGCGGGTCGGCGCCGCCGCGCAGCAGCGCCCGCGCCCGCTCGACGGTGAGCGCCTGCGGAAGAGGGGCATGGGCGTGAGGACAGCGCGATCACGCCTCCGGCCGCTAGTCTCGGGCACGCCTCGAGGTGCTGGAGCGGCGTCCAGCCGCGGCTGGCGACCAGCCAGGCGGCGAGGTCGGCGTGGCCTTGGCGGTTTGCAACCTCCTCGGGCGTGCCGAAGGGCGTAGCGGCGCGGGAGGCGCCGTAGGAGGAGAGGAGCTTGGCGACCTCGAGGTGGGCCGGCCCTGCTGACACGCCATGAACAGCGGCGTGGTGCCATCGTTCATCGCTTGGTCGGTCGCCGCGCCAACCTCGAGGAGCAGCCGGGCGATCTCGAGGTGGCCCTTCTGGCACGCCATGAACAGCGGCGTGGCGCCATCCTGCTCGGCTTGGTTGATGTCAGCGCCAGCGTCGCGCAGCAGCCGGGCGATCTCGAGGTGGCCCTTGTAGCACGCGATGTACAGAGGCGTGGCGCCGTTCTGCCGGGCTTTGTTGACCGCCGCGCCAGCCTCGAGGAGCAGCCGGGCGCACTCGAGGTGGCCCTTCTGGCACGCCATGAACAGCGGCGTGGCGCCGTCGTTCATCGCTTGGTTGATGTCAGCGCCAGCGTCGCGCAGCAGCTGGGCGCACTCGACGTGGCCGTACTGGCACGCGATGAACAGCGGCGTGCCACCATCCTGCGTGGCTTGGTTGACCGCCGCGCCAGCCTCGAGGAGCAGCTGGGCGATCTCGAGCCGGCCTTCCTGGCACGCGATGAGCAGCGGCGTGGCGCCGTCGTTCATCGCTTGGTTGACCGCCGCGCTCGCCTCGAGGAGCAGCCGGGCGATCTCGAGCTGGCCCTGCTGGCTCGCTATGAACAGCGGCGTGGTACCCTCCTTGTTGGCCTGGTCGATCGCTGCGCGGGCCTCGAGAAGCAGCTGGGCGCACTCGACGTGGCCCTCCTGGCATGCCACGAACAGCGGCGTGGTGCCTTCCTCTGTAGCTTGGTCGATCGCTGCGCCGGCCTCGAGGAGCAGCCGGACGCACTCGAGCTGGCCCTGCAGGCTCGCGACGTACAGCGGCGTGAAGCCTTCAGCGTCTGCATGAGCCACCGCCGCGCCAGCCTCGAGGAGCAGCCGGGCGACCTCGAGGTGGTCGTGCTGGCACGCCATGAATAGCGGCGTGGCGCCGTTCGCCGCGGCTTGGTTGACCGCCCCGCTCGACTCGAGTAGCAGCCGGGCGCACTCGAGGTGGCCCTCCTGGCACGCGACGTGCAGCGGCGTGAAGCCTTCAGCGTCTGCTTGGTTGACCGCGGCGCCAGCCTCGAGGAGCAGCCGAACGCAGCCGATCTCGCCAGCCAAGCTCGCAGCACTCAGCGGCGTGGTGCCATCGTTCATCGCTTGGTCGGTCGCCGCGCCAACCTCGAGGAGCAGCCTGGCGCAGTCGAGGTGGCCCTTGTCGCTCGCGACGAGCAGCGCTGAAGCGCCGCCGCCAGTCGTCGCCCCCACGCTCGCGCCGCCCTCGAGCAGCAGCAGCGCCGCCTCGGCCTGCCCGTGCCGAGCGGCCCAGGTGAGCAGCGTGTCCTGCTTCTCGGTGTCGTGCCGCGCGTCGAGCTGGGCCGCGAGCGACGTGCCGCGCGTCCGCCGCCCGGAGAGGAAGGCGCGCAGCCAGGCCAGGTCGCCCCGAGCCAGGTCGGCGAGCGGGCTGGGAGGATGGCGCCGCTCATGCCGCCAGAAAGAAGAAAAACTTCCGCCGCTGAAGAGCGCTGTACAACAAGGGACCGGCAGGCGGCGGCGTCGCAGGACGAGGCAGAAGAGAACGACGCGACAGAGGAGGAAGTGACAAGGGAGAGACCGACGAGAGTGGGACGGCCGCGAGGTGGCATGAAGGTTGCAGCGAGAAGCGGCGAGAGACTGCGAAAAGAGATACGAAGAGGCAGACTCCCCAGGGTGGGCGACGGCTAGCGCACCACACTCCTCTCCTTAAAATCCCTGTGTGGTGGCGGCGTGCCGTTCTCCCATCCCTCCCTTGGGTTGCGTGTTTTCTTTCTTCAGAGCAGGTCGTGAATGAGCTTGCCTGTGGCGGGGGTGGGCGGGTGCACGGAGCTAAGTGCCTCGCCACCCTCGCAGGAGTCGCTTAGGCGGCTCCCGTGGTGTACCTGTGTTAGTGCCAGTGCGAGCCAGTCCCGTGCCCAGTCCTGTGCCCAGTGTTGTGCGAGGGAGTTTTGTTGTAAAATTCTTTCTTTCTTTCTTTAGAGCTGTACATCCGCCGCGGGACGAAGCGCCTCCGTTGACCGTTGTAGCGCGATGTAGAGCGCGATTTTGCTGTAGAGTTTGTTGGAGAGGCTCTACATTTGTATTCTTTTTTTGCTTGGGCGGACCTGATGCTGAAATTATGCAAAAACCTGGCCGGCCCCTGCGGTGCCCCTACCTACCTACCTACCTACCTACCTTACTTATGGGAAACTAAAAAAGAAATCACTCGATGGGTGAAGGTGAGGTACTATACCAACTAGAGTGATGGTTGGTGGTACTCTCCTGCAACCACAGTCCTTCTTGTGACATGGCAGGCCACTCTCAAGCCCTACAAGCACCAGATCACCCATTTGGGGAGGGTTGACATCGTGATTTCCGCGGAAAATTTCTTTTTTTGCTGTGAAAATTCCGGCGTGAAGAGAGGGAAAAACCCGACGGGAGGGCCCAGACCTACCCTACCTACCCCGGCATCAGGTCCGCCCAAGCAAAAAAAGAAGACACCTGGGCTCTACAGCCAAACCGCCGGGAAGGCAGTGAACTCAAAGAGGCCGAGCCGCGCTAATGGGTTGTCTCCGAGCTTACTGGAGCTCTGATGGACGGCCCTGACTATCCCTGACACACAGAGAGTCACTCTGACGGCACACAACACCCTATAACTGCGCTCAGAAAGATCGCGGTTCATTCATAGCACGCGGCGGGCTACTTCGCGCGCGACGCCGAGCAATTGCTGGTGCGTCCGGTGAGTCTCTTCCTTGTGGCAGAAGACTTCGATCAGCGAGAGGGAGCCGCCCGCGGCGCCGCGCCGTAGGCTGCCTCGAACGCCGCCGCACGTCGAGGCGGCGGCGTACTGCAGCCCAAAGCCGCGGCAGACGGAGTCGAAAAAAAAGGGCGGCCAAAAAGACGCCGTCTCGTTGTCCTGGCGCTTGAATGCCCCCCCCCGGCGTTGACCCAGTCGACATGGCTACTTCGGAATCGGCAGCAGCGCTGGCGGACAGAGCGCTGGCGGACCTCTGCGAGGAGGAGCAACCGCCAGCGGCCGCCAGCGGCGAGCGAGAGACTGCGAAGAGAGAAAGGAAGAGGGGGACGCCCAAGGGTGGGCGACGGCTAGCGCACCACACCCATTAAAATCCCTCTCCCTTCCTTGCCTTAGTGAGAGACTCTCTCTCTCTCTCTCTTGCCTTAGTCTGCTTTTTTGTTTCTTTTTCGTTCTGCCGGTACACTGAACGGCGCTTCACCACTTGAATGGGGTGTGCCTCGGCCGGCCTGCCGCCGCCGGCGCTCAACGCTGCCGCTGCCGAGGGCGCGGCGCGCCGCGACGGCGCGCAAGAGGCCGATGATGGCCAGAAACTCGACCAAACTGGCAAGCCGCTAGGCGACCGCCTAGTGGCGACGGCGCCCGCGGTCCGCAAGGCCGCGTACCTGGAGCTGGCGGCGATTCTCGGCGGGGAGAGCGGGCCGCCGGACGCGGAGGCGGCGGCGGAGCACGCCGACCACATCCCGCGCCTGCTGGCGGACAGGGCGCCGATCTGCCACGAGGGGGCGCTCGATGCGACGATCGCATGGCTCGAGTATGTCTCGCCCGAGGCGGTGGTAGGGGTGGCGGGCGCGGTGGCCAAGGCGCTGATGGAGAAGCACGCGCCGGGCAAGTACCAGCCCAAGGAGATCGCCGCCCTCCTCTCCCTCCTCCGGCGCGGAGGCGCGGAGCCGGTGCAGTCGGCGCTCGAGGCGGGCGTCAGGAGCAAGGCGCCAAAGACGTGTGCGGCGGCGCTCAAGGCGTCGGCGGAGGCGCTGCTAGAGTGCGGCGCGGCCGCCTTCGACGCCGGCCCGGTGGTCAAGCAGCTGCCAACGCTGCTGCAGCACCGCGACAAGAGTGTGCGTGACGCGGCGGCGCTAGTCGGCGCGGTAAGGCACTGGCTCGGCGACGGCGCGCTACCACCTTTCGTTCCCCTTGCCGTTGCCCTTGCGCGTATGCCCTTTGCCGCCCTCGCCGCCTCTCCCTCTCCTACTCACGGGTGCGGCCCTCCGCCCCCCGCTCGCGCCTCGCAGGCATCTTCAGCCAGCTCAAGGGCGTGCCCGAGGATCGACTCACCGCGTTGCGCGAGGCGCCGCTCCCGCCTACCAAGACGCACCTCCTCCAGCGCCAGGGGTCGTCCGCTGCGGTGGTTGCTCGACCTGCTGGCCATGGCGATGCCCCCCCTCGACCTGCTGGCCAAGCTGCCGAGGTCGAAGGCGAGCAAGGAGCCTGCCGACGCGTGGGAGGAGAGAGGGCGGAGCGAGCAGAGAGGAGGGGGGAGAGAGGAGAGAAGAGGGGGGTGGCGCGAGACCGAGAGGGAGGGAGGGAGGGAGGGAGAGAGAGGGCGGAGCGAGCAGAGAGAATCTCAGGGGAGAGAGAGGGAGAGAGTTGAGAGAGTGGAGAGGGAGGAGAGGGAGAGAGGAGAGCCTTTGAGCCTTGGGCTTGGCACCAGCCAGGCAGTGGATTTGGCCCTGGCACCAGCCTTGGCAGTTGATTTGGCCTTGGCACCAGCCTTGGCGGGCGGGCACGCGATATGCACAGGCGCCAAGGGGCGCAGAACCGACCTACTCGCGGAGCGAACGCGAACCGAGCCGTCGCCGTTCGCCGCAGCCGTCAGCCGTCAGCCGGCAGCAGCCGGCCGCCGGCCGCCGGCAGCCGGCGGCCGGGAGCCGGCAGCCGGCAGTCGCCGTCGCTGCCGCCGCCGCAGCAGCAGCGAGCGAGCTCCTGCGTCGCGTTTTGCCGACGCAGTGTGGACGCGCGCCGCCCAGCGGCGAGCGAGCGTGCTCGGAGCTGGGTCGGCGCGCGCGCGGGCGGACGGCGCCTGTAAACAGACAGCCGTTGAATCGTGCGTGTGAGAGAGGCTTAGGGTTCTAAAATTCTCTTTGTGTTAGTGCCAGTGCGAGCCAGTCCCGTGCCCAGTGTTGTGGGAGGGAGCTTTGTTGTAAAATTCTCTTTTTGTTAGTGCCAGTGCGCGCCAGTCCCATGCCCAGTGTAAAGAAAGAAAACGGACAACCCAAGGGAGGGATGGGAGGACGGCACGCCGCCACCACACAGGGATTTTAAGGAGAGGGGTGTGGTGCGCTAGCCGTCGCCCACCCTTGGGCGTCCGCCTCTTCCTATCTCTCTTCGCAGTCTCTCGCCGATTCTCGCTGCAACCTTCATGCCACCTCGCGGTCGTCCCACTCTCGTCGTTCTTTCCCTTGTCGCTTCTTCTTCTGTCGCGTCGCTCTCCTCTGCCTCGTTCTGCGACGCCGCCGCCGCCTGCCGTTCCCTTGTTCTCACTGCTTCTTGCGCCTTTCGGCGCAGCTCCGCCCTCCTCGCTGCAACCTGCATATCCTGGCCCCTCGAGTCTATCGAGCTACGAGCTCTCCTCGAGCAAGGACGAGTCTTCGGACGCCCACTGCTATCATTTGCCACCCAGTCATGTCATTGCTCAGGTCCACTCTCTCTTCGAACACTTGTGCCTCTACGGATGATGCCGGCGCTGGAGTCCCCTTCGGGTGCATCGTGACATCTGACAACTGGATTTCCACTGGTTCGTCCTCCTCGGAGTCGCCTTCCCCCTCTTCCTTCCGCTCGGCTCTACGTTCGGTACGTTCGGCGTGGCTCACCCTCCATGCCGTGAACAGGCGCTTTATCCACCCTATATTCTTCTCTCGTTCCTCTGCCCGTGCCTTGGTCTTGTCGTTGTTTCGCACCCATGAGCCATGTCTGTATGGCAATCGAGGCTGCCTTCCCCACTACCTGTAGTTCACTCGTCACCTCTCCCGCGAGCTCCCCTCTCTTTCTTTCGGGTATGGAGTCCGTGAGTGCGGGCAGCGTGCAGGCAATCACGGGCGCTATTTTGTCGTACTCCCCTTCGGCGAGCGCTCCGAATCTAGACCCCATTGCCTTTAAGGAGGCTACGCCTGCGCGGACTTCAAGGCGCGGTTTCCGAGCACGGTCGAGGTGCGGCACCTCTCCCTGGACGGCATCGGGTCGACCCTGACGGCCTTCTCGGACCCTCGTGCCGAGACCACCGCAGTGGTGACTGCCATGCGTCGGCGTGATGGGCGCCCAGCCAAGACCTTCTACGCCAAGACACCTGCGAACACTACGGCGATCTACAGGCTGGTGACGCATGCCAAGTTTGAGATGCTGCGGCGTGCTGAGTCTGCTAGCACCGTACGCAAAGGCGTTGGTCAACGACTGATATGGGTCGACGCCGGTCTCTTCCGCCATACGTGGCATGGCTTTGAAGAGTGCGTCAGCTGTCTCAATCCCGTTCAAACACAGTTCGCAGCGTTTTCCATATCTTCGTTGCGGGCGCGTTGGCTGCCGCAGTTGCAGCTGCTCTACAACGCTTGGGGAGTGCATAAGAAGGAAGTTGTCGCCACGGTCATGATCTTCAATCGGAGAAGCTATGCTGCCTTCTACGATGCGTACGTGCTCGCCTTGCGGTCGTATTTGCGAGACGGGTTCTTCCCCACGGAACAGGGGTTGCTCACGATTCTGGCGGAGCGAGCAGAGAGCGAAGGACGGAGTTTCGCCTTGCAACAACCCGGATACGAGCGCATTGCAGCGCGGATGCTATGCCCCCCGAAGAGCTCCCGGGCCCAACAGCCGAATCGTTCTTCTGTGTGAGGTCCGAGTCAGAAGGGGCGCCCTCAGCGGTCGATGTTGGTGCGACTTGCCAACGCGAACGCCTGCAAAGCACCATCAACTACAGCCCCGGCTCGCGGGAGGAGTTCTTCCACCGCGACGTCTTGAAAATCTTTGCTTGCTTCATCAAGGCCTGTCTTGACGAAGGCGGACCACTACGCAGCAAGATTCGCGATCGCTTCAATCATTGGAGCCATCATGCGTATGATCGGGATGCTGAACTCCTCGCGCTGCTACCTGCGCGCGCCTGCAATACCCTAAAAGGAGGACGTCTGCTGTGGGCTGCTTAGACCTTAGTGATGCCGATCCGGCGCGGGAGGTGAGGGTTGACTCCTCTCATCCTAGGGAAAAGGCAGGTTTGCTGCCGGCGCGCGCAAGCGCGGACCAGAACGCCAGTAGCCGCGAGAGCCTTTCGGGAATAGTCCTTCGATAGCTGGCCACACGGCTGCTTGCAGAAACCGCGTAGAAACACGATGCCAGAGATAAAAGGCTGCTACACATTAACTGCATGGACTTGGGTGGTGGGTGCCCCAAGCCCCAAGCCCTAAGTCGTACTCCTCTACCCACAGCTCAGGCCAAAAGCCACTCGAGAGAGGGAACGATATAAGGAACGCCACACCGGAACGCAGGGAGAGGAGAAAGAGCTCTCCTCACGAGAAGAGACTCGTTGGAGAATGAGGGCAGTGCTGCTCATATTAGGCGCAGCGGTCGCGACGGACTGGCAAACGCTGCAAGAGAAGTACGCCGAGCAGCCTTTCCCCTCTCCGCACAAGGTGAACGCCGAAGCCCTGGCCAGACGAATCCCACTCGCTTGCTTTTTTTCGCTCCAGTCCTGCGGATCTTCAGTAGTAGACCGATCAGTAGACCGGAGGGCTAGCTAGCTACGAAGCCTTCACCGTTCACACTCCAAGTGGGGCTGGACGAATCCCCGCGAGGACGCAAGTCCACCAAACCCGGCCATTCCAACGGCCAGGCCGCTCGCTTAAGGCTGATTGGCTAGACGAGCGGGGGCCTACCTCCAACGGGGAAGTCTGACGAACGGGGGAGCTCTGATCGCCGTACTCACCCCGCGGGACGCTGGTGAGGTGACGGTGGGAGGGCGCCCCCCAGACAGCCCCCCTCCCGACGGGGACGCCACCACCCTCGCCCAGGGATCTACAATGCTGTCTTAAGGTCCGACAGGTTCGGCACCGGGCACCGCCTCGGTATACAAAATGCGCCTGCGGGCGGACCCTTACAGATCACAGATCACTACCGCGCCGCACTGTTGGCGGCTACCGCCACCCCGCCCGGCATGGCAGTGCCGAGCCACACGTCGCCGGGCGGCGGCCTCACCCGCAACCCCCCCCCCCCCCCCTTCTCCCCCTCCCTGGTCCCTGTAATCATGAGACAACCTCGAGCAGCTCCACCTGGAAGATGAGGGTGGCCTTCGGCGGGATGGCGGGCGGGGAGCCGCGCTCGCCGTACGCTATGTCGGACGGGATGGTCAGCTTGGCCTTGCCGCCCGGCTTCATCAGCTGGAGTCCCTCTGTCCACCCTGCGGGAGAGAGGGGGAGAGAGGAGGAGAGAGGGGGAGGGAGAGGGGGGGATGTGGGGGGATGTGGGGAGACGTGGAGGCTCGCTCTCCACCTGCGACACGGAGCTGTGAGAGTAGTTGCGCTGAATGCGGGTCGCCTTACGCTCGCCCGAGTACACGGGTCTGCCTTCCGCATCTGGGCCTCGAGATGGGGGGAGATCTGGGGAGATGTCCCGCATCTACGCCTCGAGATGGGGGGAGATCTGGGGGGAGATGAGATGGGGGGGAGATGGGGAGAGGCACCCCACCCCGCATCTAGGCTACCCGGACCCGCGATGACGCCACTGAGCGGAAACTCGATGGGCTCGCCGCGCCTGTTGGGCCATTCGTCACTCCTCCGCGTCGATGGGGCGCCGCAGGCCGAGCCATATCTCCCCATATCTCCCCGTATCTCCCCGTATCTCCCACATCTCTCCAGGCCGAGCTGCAGGCTATCCGCGCCGGTAGCTGGAGTCAAAGATGGAGCCGTCGACGAGCTGGCCCTCGTAGTGCACCTTGACGGTGCTCTCGCGCGTCGGCGCGTCCCCCTTACCCTCGCTCAGCGTCTGCACCACCAGTCCGGACGCAGTCTGCACCGCGCCCTCCTCCTTTGCGGCGGCGGCGAGCGTCTCGGCGCCCTTGGCCGCCATAGCCTCGGCGACTTTTGCCTGCTTCTCGCCAAGGAGCGTCATCGCCTTTGGCACGTACTCGGACAGCGGCACCTGCGGCTCGTCGCCGAGAAGGCACTCGCGGATGCCGGCGAGCACCGAGTCAATCTCGGCCGGCTCGCAAGCGGCAAAGTCGCTGAGCTGCCTGCGATGCGGAGCCGGCGGTGCGCGGTGGACGAGGAGCGCTTTGCGATGGTCGGGCACGCGGTGCGCATCGCTATGAGGAGTGGGCTGCAGTGCCACCGTCCAACGTTGAAGCCGATCGAGTAAAAGGCCTTGTCCGTGTCCGTCTCGAGCGATGCGCGGACGCCAGAGGAGCGGCGGACAGCGGTCCGCGCCGTCGACATGCTGGGCGTGAGGAGCAGCGCCGTGGAGGCGACAACGCGCGTGGAGAGGAGGGAGAGCATATATGGCCTTGCTTGTACAAACGCGTGGGTGAAGAGAGAAAAAAAAATCTTTGTCGGGGACACACGATTCCAGAAATGGTTGTGTCCCCGCTCCTCGCTCGCCCGGGCGGAGGGCATGGCCGCGGAGGAGGCGAGTACACGCTGCCAGGCCTTCCGCAGACAGCCTCTTGGGCAGACTGAGGGTCGGCTTTGCGTGGCGTGGCCCGTACGCTGCGCTGCGCAAAGCTGCGTATGCGGAGGGAGCATCCTGTGCTTCCACCGGGAAGTGCGCACCTCCTGCAGCTGGTGGAAGGCCGTGCCGCCGCTCGCCTGCTCCGTGGACAGGGCAGGGAGGCGGCGCCGCAGCGCCGCAGCGTCCGCTGCGCGCCGGTGCAGCACTCTGCTGCCTGGTGGGCAGCATGCTGGTGCTGTGCGCGGTGTTTTCGAGGCTGCAGTGGCGCTGCACCGCAAGCCACGGCGAGTGGCACGCAGCATGCGCGGCGCCGCGCTTGGCCCGGACAGCGCCAGAGAGTGCCCTCGATGGGCCAGCCTGCGCGGCGCGAGCGCCGCACAAGCTGACGCATCGTCTGCCATTCTCTGGTCGACGGCGGTCAATCTCACGATTGTCGATCAAAACCGGCGGGCTTTGTGACGCCGTTTACGCAATCGTTTTTGGCTTCGCTTTCTCTTTTGCTTGTTTTATTTTGTTTTTTCTTTTGCGAAGCGACGGAGGGGGGGGGGGGGCGGGCGGGCGCTAACTATGGGCAACTACATGTCGAAGGTTCGAGGACGACTACTCGCCGCCTGGGTCGTTCGGGGCGCGCGGCTCCGTCGAGGACCGGGCGCGCCCCTTACCCGGCGCGGCGTAGGTCCCACTCTGACGTATAGAGGGGACTTCCCTTCCCCCCTCGGAGGGCCGGACTGAGGCGTCGAGGGCCCCGCTCTTTCCTTCGCATAGCGGCCACTCTTCGGATCGCTGGTCGAGCGACCCGGGGGATGCCCCGCGCGCCTGACCCAGGCGCGAGAAACGAATCTGCGAGGCGTGGCCGCTCATGCGGCCCGATGGGGAGGAACGGGGCGAGCCCCCTCCAACCCACCCGCGCTAGGTCTCGGGTTTGACGCATGGGGTCACTCCCGCGAAACCCGTGAACTAGCCGGGGCAGTCGGAGAAGGGGCAACTCCGTGCACTGACGGTCGGCCGTCAGAAAACACGCCTCCGTTGCTCGGGTTACACCAATCCTCGCTACCCAACGCGGCCAAAGGATATCCACCTCGAGAACCTCGAGAGAGATAGAGGGGAGGCACGGACACCGGCCCAATTCATCAATTCCACTCATCTTCTGGTGCCTAGCCCCGTGCAGCGGCGGTCCGGCAGGCTGCCCCCAAGGCCCCCCGGGCCGCTGCGGGTTTTGGAGTTATGCTTTGGCACAGCTTCGGCGATGGCGGCCCCTCTCTGGGGCTTGCATAGGCGGGGAGTCTCCCCCGCTGGTCTCCTCATTCCCTTTTTTCTTTTTCTTTTGAGAGCAGGACGCCGGGTTTGTCTTGTATGTGCGTGTCGGGGTGTGTGCGCGGGGCGGGGAGGGGCAGGGGCGTGCGGGGCGGAGGCCCAACGTCGGGCAGCTTGTCGGGGCCGACGAATTCGAAGGGGGGGAAGGGGAGGGGGGAGTGGGCAGTCGGCGTCGGAGTAGCAGGCTGCAGGGCGTACGGGGTAGCCGTCACTTTCCTGCCTCGCAAGGGCGGGGCTGTCCCGGAAAGTGAGAAACGCCGGGCAGCGTGGCGCATTACTGAACCCTCCCATACGTGTTTGTGCTTCCTCCTTCGGGCTGTTCCATCTCCTCGTCTCTTTCCCACCTCGGCGGGGCGGGGGCTGGGGGGGCGGTGCGGTGTGGCGTGTGTGTGCGAGTGATGGCTGCTACCAGGGACCTTGGGCTTGTATTATTAACAACGAAGGCGCTCTCAAAGAGAGAAAACGCGGGTGCCCATCCGGCCCTGTCTGTTTTAGGTGTATTGTTGGCAGACAAGACTCAGTCTGTTTGTGTCTGTGCGTCGCTCGTGCGTGTCGTCATCATCTGTCCCGCGTCCACCCATACCGCGTTGGTGTCCAGTCCGAGTGTGTGTGTGTATCGCGCGCCTTGCGGGGGGGGCGCGGAAAAGAGGAACCTCTTAGCGCCATCGCCACGGTGCTGCATGCAGCGCCGGGCGACGACGACTTACCGCCTCCCGGTCCCCCTCGGCACACCTCCGCTGCTCAATGTTTGACGGCTCGAACCCGTGAAGCTTCCCCGTGCGCGGGTTACCCCGCACACGGGTCAGCCTGCCAGCCACGTATCCACGCAAGCGTGGTCCGCGTGCATGGCATACAGGCGTCCGCCAGACAGCGCAGAGGCTAGGCGACCGGGGAAGGACTAGCTCAAGGGCAACACAGCGTCACCAGCCGTTGGCGCGCCGAACGAGTCTGCGGCCCTCGGTTGGGACGAGTGCGCGACGCGGTTGAACCGCTCAATATGGCCGGCAGCTCGCGCTGCCGGCGGGGTTGGTTGGGGAGAACCGGCACGGGGAGGGCCGGCCTCCCCGGAGGGGTCGCCCCCTGGAGGGGCCCCAAAGGGCCCCCCGGGGGGGCGGGGGCCCCCGCCCCGAGGGGCGGGGGCGGGTCCTTCCGTGTCGCTCCCCTCGTCGGGAGTGTCCGTCGGGATGGTGTTGTCCGCCCACTCGGCAGCGTTTGAGCCTCTGTCACCTTGCCTGCCGCGAGCAGCTAGCTCGTCG